TTCTATATTCTATATTTATGTATATATGTATGTGTGTGGGTGTTTATGTATGTGTATGTGGGTGTGTGGTTGTGTGTGTGTGTGTGTGTGTGAGTGTACGTGTCTGCTTGCTCGCCTGTGTGCGTGGGTGAGTGGGTGTACACGTACGTATGTAATATCGTACACACGAGTTGTCCAGTTGTGTGCCTATACCACAAGATTCGGTAATTGTTAACGATCCTCGTACCTTCATTGAAAGTGGCGTTTTGAGCGCTGTCTGTATGGATCAAAGGGTTTGCAGTCTCTCAGGATATGCTAAAAGAAAGTGAAAAGATTTTCACAATTTCTTTTCCGTAGCGTTATTTTCCCTTTTGTATAAGCAAAATACCCCGAATAAGAAGATATGAGTACATAATGTGAAAATCATTTCTCCTACAACAACATAATCACACGACACGGCAATTAATTAAAAGTATCTATCAATAATAATCATACACTCTACTGAAATACGCTCCTGACGAACCACTCCTCTACTTAAACCGCACAGTTCAGATCACGGGCGATAGAGGAGGCTGCGGACAGGGGCTATGTGGATATACTAGATGCATTGCAACAAACAGCCGCAGGCCAGCCATTGGTGTGTGTTGATTGTTTACAAAAAAAAAATGTAGAATGTTGTCTTGACTCTTTCATACAGATGTTTATATCTGTACGATGGACTTGATTGACACCCAGAGATCCATGTACTGGACTTGGGTGTGTACACAGACTTTTAGGTCCATGTAAACGTGTGGCTAGTCAATGGATTAACTTTTGTATGTTTCTTTATACGCGTTTATTGTTAGTGTGTTACACCTGTGACTCGTCCGTCATTCATACAGAACATCGATGCTTTTGTTCTGCGAGTTGCCACTGAAAACGAAGTACGTGACTGGTGATATATGTGTGTATTGGTAGTATTTCTAGAAGTGACAATCTAAGATATAGGAGGTGTATCTTTGAACTTGCAAATGACTTATTTGCAGAGTGTGCGACACCCTTGAAATATTACAAGCTACCTTAGACTGCGTGATGTGAACGGGTTTCAATTGTCTATCTACAACCACCAACCCGATTTTACATTTCTCCCTATATTTTCCTATACTATAGTAACCATCTGATATAGATCAGCCGCTATGTTGTTGTTCCAATAAATCTTAGCTCTACTGAGACAGTTTCGCTAGTACTCGAGTCTCTCGAGGTCTGTACTTGAGCAGACTATATGAAGCGCATAGGACTACCGTACGTTGTTCACTAACATCGCTTCTCTCTCCTGGTATATATCGAACAGTTGGCACAGGCTCACACAAATGAGACCATATCTGAAAGAGCTTTAGAATACGCATCTGAGTGTCTGCAGAGGTGTTACAACGGCATCCCGCGGTGGCGCGATGTTGGTCCTATGTGTCTGAGGTTTGTCACTCGGCAGGTATGTCGAATAAAGAAGAGCTACACATGTGTTTGTACATGTTTGTGTGTGCGAATAAATGTAAAATCAGATGCATACGTCTGACTTCTGTCGAACGGATCCGTTTGCATACATATATATATATTCATATTTATATATACGTATCTGAATGTAAACGCGTATATGTACTTATATGTAAACACATATATGTACCTATATATATATTTACTCATATGTACTTACTTTTATATGGGTATATACAAGTATGTGTACCGTTACGAATCTCTAGTCTGAAGTACATTTGAGACTCGTTCTGGTGTTATCATGTGTGTGCATTTGTACTTTTACGCATAAAAGTCACAATGTCGAACACAACGTCCATCAGGTATATCTTTGTGGTGATTATACATATACCCTGCTCACCGCTGGTGTCAAACTGTGGAAACGAAGACAATTTCTCAGAAAGTTTGAGGCATGCGAACATCAGTCTACCTTGCTGTAATGATATCCATACGACTTGAGTATATCTGGTAAAAATGCATGCTGTTCTTCTACCGTTCAAGCACTACTGTATATGCCGGAACAGTTTGTCTGTTGCTGCGTAGCTGTATATGCTGTCCTCCTGTGTCCGTTATTCTGACTGTAATCTCAGCTCATTATATATACAATATTCTTGCAACCCTCGATTTAACCCTTTACTGTGTATATGGAAACTCGAAATAATGACTCTTTGGGTATAAAGCTTACTATGCACCCTCCTTCCTCCTCTCTGATTGCCTAGTGTCCCGGATAGCTCGGTTTTTTCCACTCTAAATTTGTGTATCAATTGTCACACGCCCAAGGCTTGACTTCATTTGAAATTTTTAGGGCCCGAAGGTTCAATTTCCATTGTGTGTTTAATTTATACATAATTGTTATTTATATATATATATATATATATA